TAAATAATTGATGATATGGTGATGAAGCATATGTGTGTCAGGCACTCTTCTAAGTGCTAAACATATTTGTATTAGCTCATTTAATCCTCATTAACAAATCCTTTGAGGGAAGGTACCATTGCACTCCGATTTTATAGTAAACAGAGGCACAGAGCAGCTGAGTGATTCACCAGTGTTGGTGCAGGTGGATTGGAACCCAGGCAGTCTGCCTCCAGAGTCCACGCTCTTCTGTGCTGCCCACTGGCCCGCCACCGTGTCGAACGGAGGGTGCGCCCCTTAGTGTTCAGTGGGAGGTTCACCATAGACTGGGGAGCCTTCACGGGAAGGTAGTGTTGAGGCTGGGAAGAGCTCAGCTCACAGGGCCTCGTTCCAGACTATGAAACGCCTCCCACTGCACCAGCATGAGGAGCAGAGGGAAGAGGCGCCCAGCCATAACCAGACCAGCAGGAGTGCAGGCAGCCCCACGTGTCCTGACGGTCCAATCTGACCTTTTGGCGGCGAGGCTCCCCACTTATGCCTCAACCAATAACCACCAGTTTCCTCAGTGGTGCCCTGTTCTCATAGTCTCAGGTAGTTCCTCCTTTGAACTGTTTGCTGGGTATCCTCTCAGCCTGAGCACTGTGGAGGGAAGAATGAAGAACAGCCACCACCCTGCTGGCACTGCCCATGCCCCTTTGTACATGCATATGAAGCCCACTCCCAGCCCCTGGCAGGACCAAGACCACCCCCAAGCCTGAACACCCTCTGTCACATGCTGCTATGGAGCCTCCCAAGGTAGCTGAGTCCAGGTCTCTTGCTGAAACACTCCAGGATGCTGAAGAGACAAGTAGCAATCTTGTGTAGTGCTTTGCAATTTACACAGCACTCCATGAGCAGTACTCACTTAATGCTTGCAAGAACCAGTTGGATGAAAAGAGCTTTCTTATATATTTGACAAGAATGAGCCTCCCCTAACTCCTGTCTTCAGTTTGAAACAACTTGTACGAAATAGCACGCTGCTTGTCTGTAGATGGTCGATCCTCATTCAGGATTCCATATTTGCTAATCCACCTACTTGCTAAATTTTTTTGTGACCCCAGAATCAGTACTCATGTTGCTTTTTTGATTGCTTGTCGATGTGCCTACAGAGGCAAAAATTTGAGCCCCCATTGAGCGTGTTCCCAGCTTGAGTTGAACTGGGTGCTGCTCTGCCAGGTTTCAGCTCTCACACTACAAACAAGCTTTTTTTATTAAAGATTTCCATTTATGCATACAAGAGCTGGGGTGCAGGCCAGAGGTGCAGGGGTTGAGCAGATTCACCAGAGACAGAGTAGGGAACAGAACAGGCAGACTGAAATACACTGCTGAGGAGAGCAGCAGGCGAGACAGGGGAGGTCTGCTGTGTCATGTGGGTCAGCTCCCTGGCCTGGGATCGAACTCGTGCTGCTGATAGCTTCATAGTGCTGAGACTTAACCCCTTGTGCCACCAGGGAGGCCGACAAGTTCTTTTTGTGGTTTACCAAGTGGCACATTTTTCAAAGTGTTTGTGCTTTTTGTTGGCGATTTTGCTGTTTAAAATGGCCTGCAAGCACAGGGCTGAAATGCTATCTAGAGATCCTTTGTGCAAGAAGGCTGTGACGTGCATTATGAAGAAAGTGTGCATGTTAGGTATAAACTATTCCAGTGCGAGTTGCAGTACTGTTGAGCGTGGGTTCAGTGTTAATCAATGTACATTAAATAAGGTGTGTCCTTAAGCAGAAACACAAAGAAGATTGTATATTAGTAAGTTGATGAAACTGTAACCAGCATCTCGCAGGAACCTACCCCGATTTTCCCAGGAGCAGGGTTTCAGCATTCACTAATTCAATATTCACAGTGACTTTATAGAGCTATATTTGAGTGAGTGTGTGTGTGTGTTTTCTCAATTAAGGGAAAGTATCAGAAATTTGATCCCAAAGTTGAACAGAGAAATAAAACTTGTCCAGAAATGGACCCGTGGAATGTCACACTTAAGCCACAGTTGCCTGGCTGTCAATATAAAAGAGAAACATGACAAAGGATAAAGGCTTATCCCAACCTGGGAGCGCCCTCCTTAGCCCTCTGCTTGCTCCCCCATAACTCCCTCAGGGCCAGAAAGGAGAAAGACTTTGAGCTGATCTGAATTCCACGTACCAGTTTAAGCTGGATCTGTCCAGAAGGAGAGCCACAGCACAGGGCTTGGTCTGAGAGACAAGAGGACAAGAGCTGGGGGAACACAAGCTCAGCCCCTTCCCTCCAGTGAGCTCAGCGCTCCTTCCCTGACTGCCTTTGTTTGATGGAGAAATGACTGTGGTTGCATGGTTGTAATAAAAGGGGGAACAGGGGCCCGTGGGCGACAGCTTTATCTCCCGCTACAGCCTGAGATGGATTCCGAGCAGCACGGCGCCCAAGGCCAGTGATCACTTTCCTCTGCGGCTTGCCGGGCCCAGACACTTGTCAAGAGCACGTTAGCGTATTGATTGCGGGTGGAGCGAGGCTGGGCGAGTGTGAAGCTGGTGCTCCCCAGCAAACGAGCCTGGCTGCTCCCTGGTGGCTCGGGACCTGGTGTGGCTGCCAGTCACTGGGTCCTCCCTCACATGAACCTGGGACAGGCCAGCATCTGGTTAGTGGCCTCCAAAGGTGCAGTGTGAATTTGGAGTTTGCCGTGTGGAAGGAGGTCTGAGCATGGGCACTTTATAGCATGAGAGGGCTGGTGCTGCCGGTCTCTGAGGTTCTTCCATCATCCCAGCAAGTTCAGGGCCAAAGAGTCATGTGCAAAGCCTGGCACAGCCACACTGGCCGCCAGAAGAGGGGGGCCCTGTCCCAAGCAGGACAGCCATCCTCAGCTTCAGGAAAGAGCCACCTGCCTGCCAACCCTATGGAGGTACAAGAGTGAGGGGCCTGGGCACTGTACCAACTTTATTTGCTTTCAGCCAGGCAGAAGGAAGTCTCTCATGAGCCCCCAAATATAGTGGAGCCCACTAGTTTGGTGGTGGGAGCCAGCGTCGACACCCAGACTCAAGGCAAGCCTCCTCCCGTTCTCCCTGCTGCTTCCCCACAAGTCCTCTGAGACCTGCTTCTTGGCCTTAGCATGTCTGATAAAGCTTGGCAAGTTAAGACAAAGAGCCATGGGCTTCCTACCTATCATGTCACCCATCCCTATTCTTGTCCCACATAGCAAGCATGGCGCCTCTTCTCAAATCTTAGCCCTCCCACTAAAGGAGGGTCCCACTGCAGTGACCCCAGGACTCTAGCCCCAGGGCCTTTGCAAGGTGGCAAAAGCTCTTGGGGAAGTCCCTCCCCCATCTTGAATTTAATTGTCTTATTGGCTGGTGAGCTCGGGGGCTCCGTTTTTTATCAGAGCATCGTTTTGCCCACTTGTCTTTCACCCCCGCACTAATGCAGGCCCGCTGGTAAATGGCTTGCCAGAATTTGAGGAGAAAAATATTTGACTTTTATAGGAACTGCTGGTTCTCCCTGCTTCTGTCCTTCAGCCATGTGGTGTAGGCCTGGGGTAGACACGGTAGACACCCAGCCCACTTACGTCTACCCTGTCTCTGCCAGTGAGGCGCAAGGCCCCACGGTCTAGATGGTGGAGGTTGCTGGAGGGTGCCCCAGGATGCAAGGAAGGCCTGCTCCTGAAACAGCAGGCTGTGGAAAAGGGAAAAGAGGTGCAGGAGGGTCTTTTCTGCTCGCAACTAGGAGTCCGTGTAGAGAAGGGCCGGGGAAACCTGGATTCTTCCCCCAGCCTGCCTTTTACTAGGACACGTCACTTCACTGTGCCTTGGTTTCCCCACCTCCAACATCCAGTTGGACTGGATCAAGAGTATCTTCTAGTTATTATAAACTGCTTAGCCCTTTCTCTGCCACACCCTGTTGAACTGGGCGTTTGCACTAGAGTGTGGGCCTCAAGGGTATTCAAGAATGGAAAGAAGCCAGGGACCTTCTGCCCTGGCCCTGCCCCTAGTTTTCCTCCCACTGCCTACTCTCTGCTCACCCAGCCGCCTCTGTCTATTCTAAGGAGTCATGTCTCCCTGCTGCGTGAGAGCCCCACCAGGTGGGCGGGCCCTCTCCCACCCTCTCCCCACCCAAACCCTCTGTCCTAGGCCGCTGCCACCACTCTGGCCCAGGCATTTAGACATTCATTTTATTGCTTAATCAAGCTTGAAGCTATTTAAATTAATACAAGTCTTTACATTTGGCAGCAACCATTCTTATAGGTCCCTTTAACAGGGGAAGAACCACTGTGAGGCCCAGGGCAGTGAGCCTGCTCTGTTAGGAGCAGAGGCAGTGCTGGGTCTGGGATCCTGGGCCTTCAGGGCAAGGGTGGGGGAGTCTCAATGGAGACAGTCTAGGAGCCTTTGAGACCTACAGTGGTTCCTGAGGTTTCCTGGGTTCAGCCTTAACACTGGGCCTCAAGGTCTTGGCTCCAATTGCTTTTTCTGGGAGTAACCTGGTAGGGTCAGCCCCTAAGTGCCCCAGGGGTGGTGCATTTCCTGCCCTCATCCTTCAGCCCACCTGTCCCCTTCACGCCTCACCTGGCTTTCTTGCAACCACTTTCATCACCTTTCATGTGCTCTAATTCATTCAGCTCTTCCAAGAACAGGCACCCCTCTCCCCAGGGATTACCTTGCTCCCCAGGGCCTGCCTATCTTCCCAGTGGAGCTGGGGGTGGATGGTAAAGTGTGGGATGTACCCATAACTGTGTCTGCATCTCACCTCACTCCTGATCCAGAAGAGGGGAGCTTTGAAGTTGCTTTGTCAATGACGTATCTATCATAGGTCGAGGATGTGATTGGCTAAAAATTGCAGCCCCGATTTGCAGAATTGAGGTGAAAGGTTCTAAGAGGGTCAGCAGTTCGGGGGCTCCAGCTCCTCCCCCCAAGGAGTGAACAAGGAGGCCGCTGCCCATGAGCCCCGGGCCTCTGTGCTGCTCCCTCCCTACCCCCTGCATACCCAGGGCAGCCTCCTGCAAGCTGACACCCCTTTTCTCTGGTCCCCAGGTGGAGGTGGAGGTGGAGAGCATGGACAAGGCTGGCAACTTCATCGGCTGGCTGCACATCGAAGGCGCCAACCTGTCCGTCTTGCTGGTGGAGCACGCACTCTCCAAGGTCCACTTCACTGCAGAGCGCAGCTCCTACTACAAATCCCTGCTGTCCGCAGAGGAGGCCGCCAAGCAGAAGAAAGAGAAGGTACATCGCCAGCTCCGAGTTCCTCTCACCCCTCCCCCATACACTATATCACCAGACAGAGGCGCTTGCCGTCCCGGACACTAGGAACTAGTGCCCAGCTGGTGCTGGTCTCAGACCCCACGCCAAGAACCACATGACCCAGGGAGAGGCCGCCCCCTTAGGCATCCTTAGCCTGTTGTAGGTGGGCCCCAGGCCTGCTCCGGGGGACCTGGAGCAGAAATGTCCCTGGAAGAGGGAGTAACCGTGGACTGATGAGAGAAATTACTGGGGAGCAGGAGGCCAGGGAGGAACTCGTCCCTCAATGCTGACCCATCAGTGCATCCAGCGGGCCCGTGGCCTGCAACTCAAGTCTAAGTTTCCTTCATAATTGCCCTGCAGGGAAGCCTCTTTTGGAAGCTGCCCCAGGAGATTCATAAAGCTGTTAGGACAGCAGATTTACAGCCCATCCGTCTCTGCAGACACTGCGTAGAAGAGACAGGGGGGGTGGGTCGGCAAGCAGCTTTTGGAAACAAATTGACGATTAAGGAACCCAATGGCTTGGTGGTAGGAGCCAGGCCCAATCCTCTCCTAGCCTGTCGCCACTGACTTACAACCCAGCCCGGATAATGGGGATAAATCAGCCAGCCACCAATTTGTCAGGGCTTCTCTGAGCTTGAGGAGGATTTCACGGGACAGCCATGCTGAGCCATAAATTTGTGCCAGGAATAAACGTTTCCCTCCCCACGGGACAGCCATCTGGCTTAGAACTCACCTACCAGAGCCAAGGCCCAAACACCTGTCAAAAGGAGTGGGGGGGCTTCGGGGCCCAGAGGGCTCTGCGTTCTCCTCCAGCCCGGAGCAGCCAGGGCTTGCGTCTCTCTTCCACCTTTCTGCCAAGAGGGACTACATCTTTCCCCAGGGACTGCGCCCAGGAATGCTCTCCTGATCTGTCTTGTCTTCCCATCCCCTGGGCATTAGGGCGGGCCCCAGCCCTAATGAAGGTAAGACGCCAGAGAGGTGGCTCAGAGAGCTAGAGCAGGTGAGAGATCGTCCATGCCCTGGAGGAACAAGCCACCATGTGGCCACCTCAGAGGCCACCCCTTTCTGCTTCACTCCCTACTCAATTAAACCCTGTCTGTGAGTGATGGGGCAGCAGGCAGCCACAGCCCTTACAGCAAAGGAGCTTCCTCTTGGATATCCTGTTTGTGACAGCTGAACTTAAGACTGCCACCCCATGGCCTTTGCTCACTGCCAGGGATGGAGAGGCGTGGTGCTGGGGCCTCATGTGCAAAGGGCCTTCACCGGGAGGTAGCAGCCTCCAAGGCCCATATAGAAGCATCGTTCCCCTGGCCCTGTCCCCTGGCTACTCCATGTGAGCCTAGAAGGTACCACTTCAGATCCGCCCGGGCCTCTGCCCTCTGAGGGTGGTGACCCTAGGGAGACCCTAGAGAGGACAGAGGGGGCTCTCCGGGGCTAAGATGGAGGCCTGGGTGCCCAGCCAGGTGCTTAACTGGATATCACTGTTGACTACACAGTAGATCTGTCTGAAAGAGCCCAAGTCATCATTTACTGGTGCCACGTAATGATGCTGAGGATGGAGTACTTGCCGGTGGTTAACTCCTAACGTGGGCTGCATGTTTTTGTTCCAGTCCAATCAGTGCTGGGCACAACTCTCCAGGGGACTGCCTGCCTCCTAAGCCCCTCTCCTGCACACCTGCCCTCTGCTAGGATCCTGGGGGGACCTCTCATGGTTACACTGGACCTAGTTCCCAGGAGCAGCCTGGGCAGAGCCCTGCCACAGCCCTCACAGCTGGCCCCACCCAGATGACAAGAGTTTGGTGGGGGCACAGAAAACTAAGTATCTGAGGTGTCTATGAGATCCCCAATCTTGCCCTGCTGTGACCCCATGAGGGCCACCTTACCTGTCAAGAGACAGGTGTTTGGGTTTGAGAGATCACAGCAGTACCCGAAGAAGGTAATGCTGCGAGATCTGCACACCAGGAGCCTGCAGAAATCTTTAGGGCGTGTGATTAGGTGCAGGTGTGTTTCTGAGGAACCCCACAATGCTGGTTTCCCAGCTGTAAGAACTTAGCCAGCACCCTGCCAGGCCTAATCTCTCCCTGTCCCATGGAGCGGGACTCCTCTCCTGGGCAGAAGGCCTCTCCTGGCCCTCTCCTAGCTGACAGAGTGGTCCCCGCCTCCTCTGGGATCCCGGGCAGGTTTGGGAACCAAGGAGGGAGCCGCAGCTGGTAACTGTCTCCACTGGCTCCCTCAGAGCCACTCATGCCCCAGCGGGGCCCTGGACAGAGCTGGATTGGCCATTGATTGGCTTTTATTGAGCTTGGCTTCCCCACTGTGTGCTCGAAGGCCTCTGCCACACTGGCCCCGTGCCAGCCCCACCCCTGGAGCCTCCTGAGCAGCGATATTAAATAGGATTTAGAAAGGAAAGGCTCCAGCCAGCGGAGCCTCAGTCCACATTGCATCTCCTGCCAGGAGGAGGCCCTGGGGCTCCCCAGGGAAGGAATAAGGGGAAGAGGGAGGAGGAGACAACCCTCTGGGTCTGACAGGGCCTTCCCTGCACCCGCACAGTGGGCTTCTTCCCCAGGGCAGTGCCAGGAGCCCTGGGATACAGAGGGGCGCCTGAGCAGGACAGGAACTGGCATGACACCCTCCACCCTGGTCCCTGGCCTTAAAGCAGGAGGGACCCCAGTGCAGCACAGAGGTGGCCACTCTGTAGGTGGGCCCCCCAGTCGCCTGCTGCTTCTGCCCAGCTAGGACTGACTCCCAAAGGCCAGGAGTGTTCTCGGCACCCAGCGCTCGGCATCATCTGACTCCCAAAGAACTGGGGCTGGAATCATAGGCACAGACTCTTGAGTCTCTATGCACAATTTCCCTTCCTGGAAGAGGTTTTGGGGGCTTCCTCCTCCTCTCGGAAGAGCCATCCCACTTGGGATTCCCCAAAACAAGCTTCCTGTCAGGGGCCTGAGCTGCGAGAGGCTTAGGGTGGCTGTGGGAGTCCCGTGTCTGACAGGTGTCTCACCACTGTGTCTGTCCCCTCCCACCCCAGCTCTGCAGAAGTCAGGCAGAATGTGCCTGTGTAGGCAGAATGTCCTTCCTGCATGGGTAGGGGCACATGTTGGCTGACCCAGTCCAACAGTTGGCTGAGTCCACAGTTGGCTGACCCAGCCACATTTACCAGTTTCACCAGGGTCCCTGGGAGGAGCTGGTGGCTTCTATCCCCCAGGGAAAGGCAGAACCCTCAGAGCTCCACTGTCCTAGGTTCTAACTCAGCCCTTTATCTGGAGAGCAGCTCGCCCTCCCCTTGATAGCCCCAGGCTACTAGTGTCTTCCCACTAGTGGACCTTGTCACAGGACCTGCCTGTGCAGCACTCCCTGTGGCACTAGGGGCCCGAGAACCAGCCCTGAGGCTTTGTTTGCTTCATCCGGACCTGAGCTGCTGCCCACCTGAGCCTGCTGGGAAGGAAGCCCCAGCTCTCCCCCAGGAGGAAACCTGATGCTGTCGCCTGAGGTGCTTTCACTTGAGGAGTCATTAGCACTTTCTGCTCTCACCCTGTCAGTCTGTTCCCAATTCATCAACGCTGCCAAGGAGTCTCCTTCCCCCACAGCTTCGGGAAGCCAGGGAAGCAGGGGGCTGGGTTAGGATGGGGCCTAGAACATCTCCCAGCCTGGAGCCCACTCTGGAGCCTGCATAGGTGCCCTGTCCCTGCTCCCTGATAGGGGACGGAGCCAGGGGAGGAGCAGGTGCACGAGGAAGGCCCGCTGGCAGGATTCAGGGTGGGTTCTGGCAGAAGGGGCAGGGAATAGACAGCTGGGGCAGGAGAGGGGGGGCCGTGCTCAGCTCCAGCTCATTTGAAGTAGTGATGGCTGTCTTGTTTCTCAGAGGCGGAGAGTCCCATTGATCCTGGGAGCTGCCGAGATCCCAGAGGGGCTGAGTGGCTCCTTCCCTGGGAGATTTCTAGCTGTCGGGGGCCAAGAGGAAAGCCTCAGAACTGGGCCTTGAATTACAAGCAATTATGGCTGACCCCAAAGTGCTCTCAAAGGTCAACGCCATAGTCTTTGATTGGAAAAACCCTTTAGCAGGGACAAAGCCAGAAGCCTCCTCCTCCATCAGGGCAGGAGGGTCTGCTTGACTGGAGGCAAAGCTGTGAGAAGGAGTGCTGCCCCCACCTTCTCTCCTGTGACAGCCAGGTCTTGGCGTGGGTAGAAGCAGCGTTGTCTGGGTGCTGATGACACAGCTATGGGGACAGTGAGGGGTCACACTGTGTGGGTTCAAACCCAAGGCAGATCAGTGGCCCCAGGAGTCCATTGTCCCTTAAGCTGCTCCCTGTGCCTCCCAGCCATCTGCACATCAGCCAAGAGGCTCTGTCCAATGGTGTGTGGGCAAACCACTTGCCTCCTCCCTCAGGAGAAGCAGAGTCGAAGCAGGGAAGGCACACATCTCTGGCCAGAGAAATTAAAGGGCAAAATGAAGGGACAACCCACCATCTCCTGCCTACTGCAGGGTCTCCTGGAGACCCAGGCGGTGTGACTTGAAGGGCCCCAGAGCCAGGCTGCCCTTGTTCGAATCCTGGTGCCCCTGCTTTTAGCAAGCCTGTGTGCCTGTTTCCTCACTTGTAAAACTTGTAATGTTAGTCCCTGCCCACAAGTTTGCAAGGGGTAAATAGTAATGTTTGGAGAATGTTTAGAATAGTGCCTGGTACCTAGTAGGCATGTAACTTTGGGGCTTGTGTGTGTGTGAGAGACTCGCGTGTGGTCTATTCCCCATACTCCCCCCCCCTTCCCACCACTCAGCTGGAGAGCCCTCCCCTGTTCTGACAGGCCTCACTACTGGGATAATCTCCTGGCCGCAGGATTGGACCTGACGCGCTGTCACCTCCAATCAGCTTCTGAGCCGCTGGAGCCCTGACAGCGCAGGGCCGGGAAGTACAAGAGAGGAAGGGCGGAGGGGAGTGGCCCGGCTTCTGAGCAGTGGTCAGAAGGTGCTGGAGGTGAGGACAGAGAAGGTGCTAAGAGGAGGCACTCCACGCCCCAAGGCGCCGCTCAGACTGCCTCAGGAGTAACAGTTGGCTCTGTGACAGTGGGGCCCAGAGAGTTCAGAGGGTCCGCTGCAGAGTGGTGTGGGCAAGGCGGCTGGGTCGGAGCCAGGCCCAGGTCCTCACGCTCTGGGGTGCATGAGAGTTGCATGGGTGCCTGCATTTGGTTTTGGTTCACTTCTTCTGGGACCCTTAGGCCTGGGGTGGGGCGCAGACACCAGCATTTTTAATAAGTTCCCCAATTGCTTCTGGTGCCTGCCAGAATTTGAGGTTCTCTGGATCAGATGAGAAAGTTGAAAGTGTTTCCTTCCCCTTCAGAGGTAGGAGCGCCCCAGGGGCCTGGTCCAGCGTGATGTGAGCAAAGTGCTTGCAGTGACCCCCCTCACTCACTCACCCCAGGGGTGACCCTGCTTTGCAACCAAAGCACCTTTCCTGGCATCCTTTCTGACTTCACTCCCTAACACCCCTCCCCTGGCCCTGCTGACCACGCCTACAGGTCTGGGCCCACTATGAGGAGCAGCCCGTGGAGGAGGTGGTACCCGTGCTGGAGGAGAAGGAGCGCTCGGCCAGCTACAAGCCAGTGTTCGTGACCGAGATCACCGACGACTTGCACTTCTATGTGCAGGATGTGGAGACGGGTGAGTGCGCAGGCCCAGTCCCAGGTACCACTGCCTTGTAGCTCCTAGCATGGGCCAGCCTTCCCCCCTGGCCACTTTGTGCAGTGGGAGAAAAGGGAGCAGCCCAGGGGCCTCCCCTCAAAACAGCTAAGGGCAAATGCCCACCTCTCAGGCCCTGTCACACCACTCTCTGGACCTGAGGGTCATCTCGTGAGCCCCAGCATGGGCGAGGCTAAGTGGGTGTTTTGAGGACTGGTGAGGTATCCAGACTTGTCTGGGTGGTGCTCTGTGACTCTTCAGTAATCATCTTACACGCAGAAACCCCTGGCTGCGCTGGGCTGGAGGATTTGTAGCCCTCCACGTCTATGACCAGATGGTCTGTCTGGTCAGGAAGCAGGAACTGACCTCACTCAGCCGCTCTCCCTCTCAGCTTCCTTGGGAAGGCAGGAGAGGGGCGCCTGAGCTTGTCTCTGCTGGGGTTTCTCCTTCTCTGGAGGTTACCATAGCCCTGAGTGGTAGCCAGTTGCCATGGAAACAGGCAGCGCTCCAGGGGAAGTCAGCCCCGGACAGACTTTCTGAAGGACCCTCCCTCTGCAGCCTCCTTTCTCCCCCCTCCTGTCCTTGAGTACTGTGCGCTGTGACAGGGTCCCCTAGGCCCAAGACCCCGGGCTTCTGGAAGGCACAGGGCAGGAGAGACAGCTCTCACAGCCCCAGCACTTGGCCTCTCTGGCCCAGCTTCCCACCTCCACCCCTTTACTGTCTTCACTCTGACCTCCCTCCTCTCTCTGCCACCCTGTGCAGAGAAATAATTTAGTTGAGAGCAGAGAGAAAAAGCTCTTAGAGCTGCTTCTGGGTACAAGGAGCTAACTGCTTGCAAGGCTGAGGGGGCTGAAGATGTGGTTGGCTCTCAGAGTAGCTCCGTGGATGGCAGGGTGCAGCTCTGCTGGCCGCCTCACCCCCGCCCCAGTCCACTCCAGGTCACCAGTGCGACGTCTCAGCCACTTCCTCTGTAATGCTATTTCCCAGGCAGCTGCTTTTGTGACGATGCCATTTCACCAAGAAAAACAGATTGTTCCTGATCCTGGACTGTCTCAGCTTGGGGGTGGGGGGGAGAAGCCAGGGAGGTGTGGAGGGGGAGCTGACGAGCCTTTAGGAATAGCGTCTTTGAGGTCCACCGCCATCCTGGTGAAAGCTGGTCCAGCCACTGCTGGGACTTGAAGCCAAGAGGCAGCTGGTCTTTAGGTGTGGGGGTGACAGGGAAGGTGGTAGCCCAGGTGGGAAAGAGAGAAGAGGGGCCCTCAGGTCCGTTGTTGGGAAGGGAATGCAGATTCCCGGGCAGGCTCCACCTGGCTACCGGGTCCTGCTGGGGAACACCCACCTTGAATAAGAACAGGTCCCTGAACTCTCCAGGGGACAAAGTTCGAGAGTTCATGACCCTCCACCAGTGTGTCCTCTCAGGCTTCCTGTGACTGCCCCGTCCCTCTGGGCTGTCCCTGAGAGGACACCAGGACACTACAGTGAGGGGTGGGGAAGGCAGAGAACTAAGGGGGCACCATGTGTTCCTCCAGTATTGTCGGGGGAGGGAGGCGCATCATGGGCTGCCACCTGGAGATGGTGGCGGCTCCATAAAACCCATGAAAATAGGCCTCAGCCTGCGCAGCCTCCCCCTTCTGGACTTAACATCCCCTCTTGGGGGACATTCTCGCGCCCTGTCTCCCTGCTCTTAATTAAAGCCTGCCTTCGGGAAGGATCTGATGAAATGATGAAAACATTGCCATTAGCTGCAAATGACCTACCAGGCTGTCTATAAGGCCCTCCCAGAGGGCTGTGCCTATTTGCAGGAGGCAGAGTCCTGCTTCTGTTGCCTTGGAGCAAAACATAAATAAAAATAGCCCTAGTAAAGGAGGAAGTTGCCTGTGTAGGGGCTTCGTCTCGGTCCTGAAACTTTACTGTCTGTGGGCAAGGAACACTGTCTCAGGAGAATTAGAAGAGGGTGAGCAGGGGTGTGGGGTGTGAGCTGTTGCCAAAAAGTCCCAGTTCTAAAACGGAGTCTCAGCACTGCCAGGACACCTGCAGAGGCCCAAGAGTGGGTACACGTCCTCAACGTGTGTATGCAGAGTTCATCTTCCACACAGTTGAACCATTAAGCACCCTGAACACGTCGGGGATTCTCCTAGGCCTGCAAGAGTAAACAGAAGCAAGTGAGCTATGGTCTGTACCCTGAAGCAGCTCACACTGTAGTGGCAGAAACATAAACCCAGACAAGGAACTTACAAAGCCAACATGTGGTAGGCACCTGTTGCACTGTGGCCTGGGGCCCTGAAAATGAAGAGAAGGAATCACACACTTAGACTGCAGCACCCGGCCATCCTTCCCTGGGGAGGCAAAGAGGGTGTGATGCAGCACTGGACTTGGGCCAGGAGGGAGGTCAGAGGAGAAACCTCTGATACTTAGTGCTGTGGGGCCCAGCAGAGTGGGTGGGCCCGCAGCAGGAAGAAGACTGCCACGTTACTAAAGCTGGCGACTCATGACCAAGGTCAGAGAGAAAGACAGGGAGGGAAGGATACTGCTTCCCCCTAGTTGAGGGGAGCACTGAACTGGAGATGGGAGGATGGAACCCCCTCCTGGCAATGCCCAAAGTTCAGCGTGTGTCTCAGGGTGAGCAGTCAAGGTAACAAGGTTTTAATCTCCTGAGCCCTGGCATTGCTTCCAGAATTGCTCCCCATCTTTCATGACTCAGATTCTGAGGCCCTCTCCTTATGCAGGGTTGTATGGGGCCCGTCCTTCATCTCCACCTTGGCCCACAGGATGTTGGAAAGAGCAGCTGCCATTAGCCGCCACCCTGGAGGAAGCTGGCTGGCCTTAGCCTTGCTCATGTTCCCCTCTTTAACCAAAGCCGAGGAACACTGAGGGCTTCTGCAACCACAGCCAGTAGCGTGGAGCTGAGACTGGTAGTACTCAGCCTGCAAGGCCCAAAGTGTCAGCCAGTCTCTGCCCCGCTTTAGAAGATAAACTGTTTGAAACCTCTTGAGCAGGCAATTAGAGGACTTCCCTGCAGGATGGGGGGGGGGGGGGGCAAGCCGGTGCTGCTGTCACCCTGCAGAATTCCGCATCCTGTCCACTCCCCTGGCCGCCTCTGCCTGCCCCGCACCATCCAGAGAGGAGGCCCCCAAGGGCATGGACCCCAGGTCTCAGTCCCACTTTCTCCCCACAGGCACCCAGCTGGAGAAGCTGATGGAGAACATGCGCAATGACATTGCCAGCCACCCGCCTGTGGAGGGCTCCTACGCCCCCCGCCGGGGGGAATTCTGCATTGCCAAATTTGTAGATGGAGAATGGTAAGCACTGAGGCCTAAGCCAGACTGGAGTCTTCAGCAGGAGCAGAAGACAGGTCTTTCCTCAGGACACTGGCCTGCAGCGCTACCGGCTAGATTTCAGACCTTTGCCTTAGCAGCCTGGGTCCCACCAGGCGGTGATCTTGGCCAGCTCTCCAGGGAGGCTCTTCACTGCCCGCAGCCCAAATGGGCCTGCACGTGGCCTGCGAATCCCCTGAGTCCAGCCAGCCACCAGAGTAGAGTGGTGTCTCTCTTCTCTCCAGAGAACTCCCAAGGAGAAGGGAGCAGCCCTGGCTGCCTGGGGCTCTCTGACACACCCCTCACCCCACATGGGGGAAAAGGATGTCACGGGTCAGGGGAGTGAGGGCGGTAGCTGGTCCTCAGTGAACCCAGACCAGCCTCTGGCCTCCCCCTCTCACTAGCTGTCTGGGTCATGAGCAAGCAGTCACAGGCTTCGGGAAGGTCACTTAGCCTGCTTTACCAAGGGTAGGGCCCGTGGCCTTCCCAGGGTGACGAAGTGACTTGGATGTGTTCCCTGCTGCGGCCTCCCAGACAGATCTGCCGGCTAATTACAGCTGCTGTTTAGTGTGCTGGTTTTAAACAGCAGACATCAATCTAGTCATTAGTCTTGTTGCTTTATGCCCCAAGGACACATTAATCTGCTCCACATGCTCCTTTCTCCCTCCCTCTGCTCCCAGCTATGCTCTGATTCCATTATATGGTGGCCACAGCGCCCCAAGCCTCGGCCTTCCTGGAGACCAAGTACTGCCCTCTGTGACAGGCATGGGTGTTGGCTCTGAGCCTTGGGCAGGGGATGCTTTGCCCCCTGCCCCACCATCACTAAGGCTCTAGAGAGACCAGACTCAGGCTGTCCCTCAAGCTGTGCCCACAATGCCATTGCAGGTACCGCGCCAGAGTAGAGAAGGTCGAATCTCCAGCCAAAGTACATGTCTTCTACATCGACTATGGCAACGTGAGTGCGGGGGACAGGGAGGGGACCCTGAGTGGTTACTGGAGCCTTTCAACACAGTCGTCCCAGCGTCAAGTCCTGTGGTTTCTCAAAAGATCCTCCGCACTGTAGACTCGTGTATGAAGACAGCATGGGGAACATCTGGGCGTCACTGCTGTTCACGTAACAAGCTGTGATTCCTGAGCCACCAGGCGAAACAGGCATCTGTGGCCAGAGGCCTAAAAGCACTGCTAGGTCTCCTGTCCAGGCCCACCCACTCCACAATTCCTTTTCTTCCACCCACCTCCCAATGCACCCACAAAGCCCCTGTATACCCTTGTTCCTGGTCCTCAGGCTTCACTGGGTGTCTGTCCCATGTGCTGATCCCTAGCTCACCCCAGAATCAAGGCTTGCTGGAAAGGGGCAGTCACAAGGTGGCACAGTGCTGGCCACCTCAGGCTAGGCCTCGGAGTCTGTCAAAATTGCTGTGATTCCCTGTCAGGGAGGCGGCAAGCGGGAGAGAGCGCTATGGTTCTCACTCCTGATGTGGCAGTGTTGTCTGCTTCCCTGAGGGCCAGTTAGAAGGAAGTCCAGAGCTGGGCCATCCTCCCAACTTAACCCCGGAAGGCCAGGCTCGGGGCTGCCGAGATCCTCATCTTGGTGTGCTCTCCTAGCTAAGCACCTCCTCCCTGTGGGAAGGTGGAACCCCTGCCCCAGAGGAAAGGCTTTGGAAGGAAATAGGAACAATTCAAGTCCAGCTCTCACCTTGAGTATTTTAATGGCAGCCACCAAATGTGCCAGCACCAGGCTCAGGGGAGAGGGTGTAAGTCAAAACCACCCCCGCTGTGGAACAGCAGGCCATGTTCCCTGAGGCCCAGGTGACTCCACCAGCCTGTACACGTGGCTAAGTGGAAGTGGGTCCAAGGTGAGCAGGGAGTCCCTCAGCAAGAATGCCCAGAGGCCAGCCCTGGGAAGTGTGCCATGAGGGCCAGGGGCGTCAGGTGTGTGATGCTGTTGGCCTGATGTGTCGTCTGCAGAGAGAGATCCTGCCGTCCACCCGCCTGGGTACCCTGCCACCCGCCTTCAGCACGCGTGTGCTGCCGGCTCAAGCCACGGAGTATGCCTTCGCCTTCATCCAGGTGCCCCAGGACGTGAGTGCACTTCCTCCTTCCAAACGGGCCTGGCCAGGACCTCCCAGCCAGTCCCTGGGGGTCCCACGGCCCTCACGGGCTGACGGGAGAAGATGGAAACCATGACCGTTTGTTAGCAGGAGTAGGGAGATGGCTGAGGAAGTGGAGGGAAGCTGCTGCAGAGGGGGTGGCGTTAGAGCATTTGCGCTGGTTCTTGAGAAATGGGTGAACCGGTGGACCAGTGTGTGTTTGGGCAAAGACTAATCCACCGCGGCCAGTTCCCAGGGCCCTGTAGGCAGTGGCAGGCCAGAGATGAGGAGGGAAAGGTACATCAGCACCTCAGGGGGGCCTTATCCATCCTGGCAGGTAGTTTAATTTTTGTGCCATAGACAGGAGGAGCTCGGCAGGATGGTCAGCAGAGGTGCTGACCACACAGGCAGATCTGTCTCTGCCAGCTACTGCTGGCAGCATTCTGGAAATGCGAAGGCAGGGAGCAGTGGTGGGGAGATGACTGCAGTGGAAGGCCCAGGCCAGGGAGGACGGCCATGGGGCCTAGCGAGGGCCTGAGGAACACACATGGGCAGCTCTCGGCACCATCAGAGGGGCCGGCGCCAGAGAGGCAGCGCTGAAGATGCTCTGGGCTTCTGGGTCACACGTCACAGGCAGGTGACTGGAGGATAGGGTAGGGTGGGGAGGAGCGAGAGCCTGGGGAAGGGTGACTTCTCGCCCCCTGAGGAAGAGGAGCCTGAGGCAGAAGTGTATCCTGAGGGGAGAGAGCGTCTTCGCTCTGGTCTTGGATGCCACCCCGTTTCCGGGCCGGAGAGCAGTCTGCTGTATCCAGGAGGTTCCTTGGCGCCCCGGGAGAGCACCCTGAACAGCGTGGCTGGGGCTGCCGCCAGATGCAGCACCAGCAAGCAAACGGGAGAACAGGCATGAATCAGCACGTAGAATAGCTTCTCCCTTTTCACAAAATCTGTGGAAGGACAGAAGAGAAAGTACAGGAGATGTTGACAGTCGTCAAGGGGCAGTGTGAGGAGAGCAGACCACCCGTGGAGAGAGCCCGTGAAGGCAGAGGGTGGGGGCCATAGCACCGTGTCAGAGCGAGTCCTACGGAAGGAGAAGCATAGGGGTCTGGGCCGCAGCAGCAGGCTTCCTGTTGGGTGGGAATCCACCACTTTTCCTTGGAGACACGGGTGGTGGGCAGCGTACATGGGTAGGAGGGGCTGGGTTTATTTGTAGATAGGCCCAGGGGTAAGGGAAGGAACTGGAAAGAGGGGGGACACCTCGTGTCCGGAGCCTGTTTCCTCCCATTAGGATCAGGCCGGGAGTGGCGGGGAGCCTGCCAGGTAGACTTCCTTGGAGGCCCCTGAACAGGACACTGGGCCCCACGTGGCTGACTTTGGCCTGCATTTACTGCTCCCACTGACCGGAGTGTGTCCTTGCCCCAGGAGGATGCCCGAACAGACGCCGTGGACAGCGTGGTGCGGGACATCCAGAACACCCAGTGCCTCCTCAATGTGGAGCACCTGACAGCCGGCTGCCCCCACGTCACCCTGCAATTTGCTGACTCCAAGGGGGACGTGGGGCTGGGCTTGGTGAAGGAGGGCCTGGTCATGGTGGAGGTGCGCAAAGAGAAACAGTTCCAGAAAGTGGTACGTGACCCGGAAGTTGGCCGCCCGCTGTGAGGCGGCCCCTGGTGTCCCCGAGCCACCACAGTCACAGAGGGGGGCAGGGACTGCGCCAAGAGCCAGGGAGGGAGCCGGGAACCTACCATCCTGCTGCTCCTGCTGGGGAAAGATAATGGATTTGGGTTTGTTGGGGTTTTAAAAAAAAAAAAAAGGAAAAAAGCTAATTACATCCCAAATTAATTGGCTGCGGGTTTGGCTGAGAATGCAGATGCAAACTAGAGCGGAAAGTTTCCCTTCGCTTGCACCCTCAGGTGACGGGCTAAAAAGCTTTGCCAGGGGTGGCCAGAGAGAGTCAAGGCCCATCTTGCTCTCCCTTCTCGTTCTAAGTCCACAACCAGCTCCTAGCACCAGGGGTCACCCATTGCCAGGGGCCCACAGGGACTCAGCCACAGCACACCGCCAGCCTGTTTGAAAAGCCCCAGGGCTTGGTGCCAGGCATCGGTCCCACCTCCACCTACCCTGGAGATCAGCCTTGGAAAGAAAGCCTGTGTCTCCTGTTCTTGAAATGAAGAGAGCACCTCCTGCCATTTATTCGTTCTTCATCAGACACTTATTGAGGGTCTACATATCGCAGTGAACAAGAAGCAACAACCCCGTAGAGCTTATGTTCCAGCGTGAGGAGACAAACAGTAAAATTAACTATAAGTCAGTGAAATAGAATGTTAGAATTAAGTGCCATGGGAAAAATAAAATAGAATAAAGGCTCTCAGGAGTATGCGGGAGGGGTGGTTGTAATTTTAAAGAGGGTCATTTGAGGCCTCATTAAGAAAGTGATACTTACATGTTTAAGCTCTGAGGCGGCAACACTCACATATTTAAGATTGGAAGGCGCAGGATAGATGGCCAGGTGGACAAGAGTGGAAGAACATTTCAGGCCAATGGAATAGCCAGGGCAGAGTCAAGAAACAGCAAGGAGACTATCGTGACTGCACCTTGGATATTGTCAGGGAGCTCAGGGTCCCCTGGAAGGTTCTCACCTGACAGTGGTTCTCAGGGTCACTCTGGCTGCCCAGTTGCAAATGCTCCCACCTTGATGCTCCCTCTTCTCTGTCCCTCCAGATCACAGAATACCTGAATGCCCAGGAGTCAGCCAAGAGTGCCAGGGTGAGTGTTCACCTCAGTAGCCCCAGGAAGTGCTGAGTGAAAGCTTGGCCCTCTGGGTCCCAGCGGGTCTCACCTCCCTGAGTGTTTTTCTTGTTTTCTCACAGCTGAACCTGTGGCGCTATGGAGACTTCCGAGCCGACGACGCGGATGAGTTTGGCTACGGCCGCTAAGGAGAGAATGGGGCCCAGCCCATGCCACCCTCGCCAGTACCACCTCCACTGCTAGAGGGTGTTTTCAGCTCCATACCCCAGAGATGGGGTGTAGATTGGGTCCAGCTTTGCTTCAGTGTATGGAAATGTCCTGTAGGGCAGTGTCCTGGCTGGGGGTAGGGTGGGGGACAGGCCATTGTCTTCTGGGATGACCAGCACTGCCCTCCACAGTTCCCCCAGCTGATTTTCTGTTTTTATTATTTGGGGGTTTGTGTTTTTTTTTAAAAATCGTCCTCCAATCAGGAAGAACAATGAAAGACTTTGTCCAAATGGAAGGCATAATCCTGGCACCCCTGGCCAGCTGGTACCCCACTTCTGTCCCAGACTGCCCTTCCCAGCTCTCTGTCCAGCTGTTGATTATGTGACTTCAGATACATCCATTCTCAAATGTCAGTGTGTCCACATCTGCCCCTTCGCCAGCCCTCCCCTTCTGTATTTAAAGCTTTGAGACCCAATAAAATAGTCCACGCTATCTGCAACCTTACTGGCCATCCAGAGCCCGAATTTGCAGTGACCCCAGCCAGGAGGAGACCTGGGTACTTGAATACCTCCCCAGACCAGTAGTGATCCACATGCCTGCCCACACTCCCTGGAAACAGCTCACTGGAGGAAGCCAGGCAGCCCTTCAGAGTGCAGAGCAACTTCTGGGGCCTGGTGGTGTCATGCAGAGGGCCGGGATTCTCTGACTCGCCAGACTGCCCAGGACTGTCCACATGTGGAAGGTTGGGCTTAGTCCTGCCAGGCCCAGGCATGGAGCTGCTGGCCTGCCCTTCACAATCTTGCCAAACTCCCAGCTGGTGTCCAGGAGGGTCTTGTTGAGGGAAATGAGGTGACTTCACTCTCCCTGCTGTGGCAGGAGTACAGGCTGCAGAGAAAGTCTTCAGGTCGAGGGCCCCGCTCCCTGTCCAGCCCTTCAGTGGTGTCTGCTCACTGGAGAATTACAAGGTGCAAGAAAGGGTTGGGGCCCCTAGACAGGTTGGTGGCCTGTCTCTCCAGGTTAGCTCTTAATCTGACTGACCAGCTTTCACCAGAGTCATCAAAGTAGAGCTGTCTGTGGAGCTCAGAAACCCCCGGTCCCTCCTGGCCCCCGAGGGAGGAGAGTCCCGTGAGCAGCCCTGTGTTGCATGGTGAGGAGCCCGTCGCTTCTCCCAGACTCCAGGGAGAAGGGGGTACATGAGGAGGTCACCACAGCCAGCACCCATAGCACCCACGGGCGCTGCCTGCCTCCCATCCCCCCAGTGCCTCAGCCCCGTGACCTTCCCAAGCAGTATTCTGGTGACACGTGGCAGCACATGCTCCCGGCAGCCCACTTTCCTCCCATTCTGAGCTGAGGGGACATGCCAAGCTGCCATTGGAGCCACATGAGATTGGGCCTTTGATCTGACGGGAAATCAGGGCCTGGGGCCTCACTGACCACCTCTCATTCCCAAATCAGAGGCCCCGGGAAATTCTGGCTCCCGGCCATTAGACCCTCCTACACACTTGTTCAGGCCCAGGGCGTACATGGGGTTCTGCCCAAGACTCCTGTCTTAGCAAAGAGATGTCAGCCTCCTGTACGGGGGTGCAGTCTAGTTAAGAGGTGAAAGCCAGGAGAACTGAGGGAGGGAGAAATGTTGAGTCGGAGCAGCTCCAGAAACCCCTGCGCTGCCTTCCTCCTCGAGGACTCCCATCCCACCTGCCAGCCCTTTGGGTGGTCAGAACAAGAGCAGCTTCACTCTCCAACCAGACCCTTTATGGTCCAGTGAGCCCTGTGGCCCTATGAAGCCTCTCAGGGGGCCCAGGAAGCCAACAGGAGCATGGATGATGGATCGGTGCATCCCTCCCCACCCCTGCAGAAACTGTCCTGCTCCCCGCAGGCAAGCCCACTCGCCCCTCAGTCTCGGGTTTATTTTTATCCATCATGGAAAAGAGAATGCCTGTTTCACTCATTTCTCTCCTGGTAGGGCCAAGAGGTAGGTCCGTGCATGTTCACTTGAGCACAGTTGGCAGTGGGACAAAATGCCAGCCCACTCCTTTGTAAAAGGGACTGAAATCATCTCGCTGTCTTAACAGTTGCCTTGGTTACTTCTGTGCCTAAGGAAAAACCCTCCCTGGTTCTCCAATTGAAACGATGCCTGATCCTACCCACTTCTTACTCTCTCTTCCAAGGCTGGTTTAGACCAAGGTCAGAACGCTCGCCAGGCCAGAAGGCACTGATGCCACTCAGCAGGTTTGAGGCCAGCTCGGTTGTCCTCTCTCCCCTGAGTCCTGGGCTCTGTGCCAGGCAGGACCGGGACTAGGGTGCAGAAGCAGGCACCCCGGGGGGCAGAATGGAAGGAGGTGCTCAGGCTCTGCAGGTGTGCTGGCATATTCTTCACAGTGGAGACTAGTCAGCATCCGCTCTTGGCACAAGTAGTACCAAAAGCCTTTCCAAGGTCCTTCCCCAGGGAGGTACCAGGCCTGTTCCTTGGTGCCAGGACCATGGGCTCTGCTTCCCCATCCCCTTCCCTCTTGCACAGCAAGATCTCCTGAGCTTGATGTCTCCACCAAACACAGATTAAGACCCAACTAATGCCGAACGGTGTCAGGTCCAGTGATGCCAAGTCAACCCCACAGGCTCTCAGGGGGCATGTGGGCCAGGTGAGGAAGAGGCAGCAGATGCTGAAACCGCGTGCAGGGCACAGCCATGGCTGGGGAGTCACCGCAGATGAGAGCAGCAGAGTTGAGGCTAACAGATGGCAGGGAAGCAGCATGGCTAATCTGGGCAGGCTCTGGAAGTTTCCCATCTGACACATACAGCAGAGCCTAGGGTTGGGCTAGCCCCCAGGCGGGTACTAGTGCAGAGACCACCCCCAGGTGACCTTCACATGCCTCCTCCCAGCCAGTGTGTAGGCCAGTGGGGAAGGTGGGCAGTGGAGGGAAGAGCTGGCAAGGCGGCCTCCACTTTATTTATGGGTTTGATTATTCCTGTGTCCCGGGGAGAGTCAATGGACCCCTTTTCTTGCATTAGCCCATGTTGGGAAGCAAGAGGGAGGGGTTGGAAAATGGGTGCCTCAAGAGTGGTTATTGATGTCCTAATTACAAGAGGATGCTAATTTAATTTGAACCTAATTACAGTGCACTACCCTGGGTGGCATGTGTTTTAATAATTAACATCCTTCAGATGCGTAGGAGTGTAATAATATTTACACTGGGTTGGCCAGCAGCCTGGGGAGGCGGGCTGGGGGCCATACACCACCCTCCCCCCGGACAGCTTGGCTGCTAGCAGGTGGGGAACATGGCACATGAGTCTCGGTTGGCTAGTATCTTGTCATCCTTCCCAGGGAACATGCTTGGGCCTCCTTCACAGTCACTTCCTTGACCCAGCAGGCACTGCATTCTCGGGCGCTGGGCTGGAACTCTGAAACACCAAGGGCCCACCAGCAGGAAGGCACACTGGGCCCCAGCCCACCCCTACCTGTGAGGCCACGTGGCCGGGTCCAGGGCTGACTTGCTCTGCCTGCCTGGGCCCATCTGAGCAAGGCTTCATTCAGTGAGGAGGAAGGAAAGTCCCCTGGTTTTCTTCTTTGTGCATTTCCTCACAAGTGCTACCCATTCACAAAAGTGCGCAAAGTTCTAGCACAAAGCCCGCCTAGGCCTAGCTCACAGCAAGCAAGCACACATCAGAAGGTGGGACCTCGCCAGGCCTCCTGAACTTGCTCCCCAGGCGCCATCACCCCTTTTGACTTTCACTCCAGTAGATGAGTTTGGCCTGTTTTGATTGTTTTGGTTTTTCTGTTTTGCTGGACTAACTTTTACATAACGAGCGTGCGGCGTCTGTGCTCCATTGTCTGCACGCGCTGCTCCTCGGTTGCGACATAGATGTCAGTTGCTCTGCAATCTGCCAGTCCCTGCAGAAGAAATCTGTTCATCCTAACTTCACCTGGGCAACCGAGGTAATGCTAGAGAAGGGGAAGCCAAAGGGCAGCACGGAGCATCCACCCACCACGAGCCTGAGGCCAGTGGTTGCCAGCATGGCCCCCATGCCCAGCCTCTCCAAGCTCCCAGAGGTAGAGGCAGGTCTGACCGCAAGTTCTAGAAGCCATAGCAGAAGAACCAGGGATTTAAGTAATGGTGGGAGGGAACGTCAGTGTCTCTACCAAGAGACCTCACAGGCCAGCTCTTCACTAAGCTGCCTGGCAGACCAGCTTCCTCAGAGTTGCCCTGGGTGGCCCTTCAGAGGCAGGCAGCTTCCAGAAATAGAGCCAGGACTAGAGCTGAAGGGCATGGGGTGCATGAGTTAAACCCTCATGGATCGTGGCAGGAAGGCGGTAGGACATAATTACAGTTGATAGAACAAGTACTAGCCTATCGTCTAGCAATAAAATGGTAACCAACAGAAGAAGTAAAAGATGATTAAAAGTGGTTGTAGGTAGCACCGCTGGCAGTGGGGAGGGCTGCAGCTACTCGGGTTACTCCAATTTATTCACCCTAGGTGAATCTTTTTCTAATTCATTATCAGGTAAATACATACCTATCCCCTCCCATGCCAGATCTGCTACCCCAATTCCTGGGGGCCAGGCACTTCAACCAGCTTCCAAAGGGATTCTGATGAGTTCTCAAGTTCAAGAATTAGCTATCACTGTTCAAGCTCATTTTACAAGATGAGGAAGGTGACGAAGTGACTTACCCAAGGTCACCCAGTATATTAATGGCCAGGCCAGGAACTGAAGCCACCCCAGGCCTGTGATATTTCTCTACATCATGGTTTTCACCTTTGTGGATGTCCATCTCAGTGGGCCTGGCCCTTAGGGGCTTGAGGGTTGGCCTGGGGTGTGGTTCCATTGAGGGAGGCCAGGCTCTCTTCACCCAGCACAGGAAGGGAGACCCAGACTGCCGCAGGGAGAGCCCTCAACAGCCAGCACGCTTATAACCACAATGTGCTTACCTCGCAGAGCCACGGCAGGGAGGGGTACACGCAAACAGCTTTGCTCCTGCTGCTCCGCCAGCAGCAGCAACATCTGAGTTTTCACAGAAGGTCAGATCCCCCTGAACACTCAGGCTTTTGGCATTTACTGAGCTCCTTCCCACTAATTCCAGGCACTGTTCCAAGGGCTGCAATTAAAAAAGAGCAATAAGCCCTCCTCATGGGGCTCACAATCTACTGAGGACAATAGATTGTGGCAACAGGAAAATCTAGGACCTCACCCCCAATGGAGAGATACACAAACACGGAGGCCTTAGCTTGTTTAGGTGACTGTGCAACCCAGATGCCCAGGATCTAGTACTTCCTGCCTGGTTCCATGACCAAGGGCTGCTTCACATGTAAGAACCCCCTCATCAGAAGTCAAGATGGTCGCTGCAGTTTTGTTCCCACTGACTAATAGCAGTGCCCACTATAAGGCATAGCCACACAATAGAATATTACTCAGCAAGGAAAAATGAATTGGCCACACAGAACAACAGATAAATCTTAGAATCAATAGAGCACATCTCAGAAGACTTCTACCCAATAATACCATTATTGTAAAATTCAAGGGCAACCAATTCATTGTTTAGGTATACACTGATGTTGAATGGTCATGGCATTTATTATCCTAACCGAAATGTTTTTGAGATTGGAAAGGGATACTGTTAATCCCTTGCATTTGGACCACAAACTGGGCCTGCCTTGAGAAGCCAGGACACGTGAACATCTGTGATATATAAAACGCAAGAAAACATGGAGTGATAAACACCTAAGTCTGTATGGTGGGGGGAGGCAGGGGACCCCAGAGGAGGGATAAAGGAGCGTTGTCAGGGAGACGTGAGGTACAGAGTTAGCTCTATGCCTCAGCCTGGGAGATGTTTATTATTAAATACATGTTTATTATTGAAAAGGTGGTGTGAGGGCTCACAGAAGAAAAAGCTTCATTTTTCCCGGGAGCTAGGT